TTGTACTTTTTATCTTTTCTCTTTCTCTCTCCAACGTCTAATCTATATATATCTATATCGCTTTGAGTGTAAAAAGTACAACATAGTGACAGCTATATACCAGTTATTACTAAGACTACAAAGAGCGGAATTGACAATTTCTTCTCGGATGTCTCAGGCGATGTCATCTCGCGGCGGCTCGTCCTCGTATCTCAGGATTCTCAGGAATACGATTTGACTGATTTGAGGCGGGTGACGCGGGTGTCATGCGGCGTACAGCCGGGACAGCCGATGGGATTAGCGTGATCCGTGATCTGCGGTCGTCTGCATACCCGCGTGTCCGCGCGGTCCGTGATTCAGGGCACGTCGTCGGCGGACGGCTACGCCTCGCGACTCTCCCGCGCCCGAGATCAGGATGCCGGAACGAATCGAGATCGGTACGTGGAACCCCCCGGCTCTCACGCCAGCACACGCGAATCTGCGATTATTTACACGACGTGACACATAACCTAATAACGGAGCAACGTAAACGCACCGGAGCTGGTTGAGGAAGGAGGGAATAATAAAAATAAAATTTTATGTGCAACTTTATTGCGAAGACAGGGGCAGGATAATGTAACATAATAATTAAAAGAGAAAGTTTGAGTCTAGATATAAATGTGCCATATAACTTCCTCTAGAATTAAAAGCATCTTCAAACTTAAAAAAAAAGAATGCGAGCGAGCAGCCTAGATTGTGTCTGGAGCTGGCTGAGGGGATAAAAACGCTCAGAATGATGTACAACTTTATAGCAAACAAGGGAGAATAATCTGAAATAATTAAGGACTAAATGTATCTAAATAAACATGCTGAATGACATTTCTTGAGTCAAAGGCACTTGCAGTAAGAAAAGTGTATAATTTGTCGAGTAAATATATTATCATTGAATTCTACAAATATTCTTATAAACATTCAAAATTGTTCTTCAGAAAAACACCTTTAACCATATAAAAAAGCTTTATTCTACCTTTTCAACTTTTTTTCATGTAGAATCATCCTCTTTCCACTTGTACCATCAGTTCTGAGATGTTCTGTATATTGTAATATTATTTAATCCATATGTATATTTGTTTTATTGTACAACATATTGTATTTGATACATTTGGTTACTTAAGTTCCACAAATTCCAGGTGTTATCCCAAATAATTTGAGGCACGAGGAGACTATAGTTCAAATAGCGGAAGCTCTGGACAATCTGGGCGATGCTGTCACATATATATTTGATTGCATCGACAGGAGGCTCTCGCAGAATACTCAGAGGTAAAATAAAAAGAATGAATCTATCAATCTCTCAATTTTCATTATGACCAATACGACCGTCGTGTTCATTTGTTTAATTGCACGTTTGCTTGAAATATTCAGTGATAATATCTAACAAAGATTTTCCTTTTGTAGATTAACCAACGTTAAAGAGAGGGCCAGGAAGCTGGAGGACAGATTGCACTATTTACAGACTAATTTAAATCTAAAAGCGGTGAAAATGTATTCCGCTGCTAAATATCCGGCTAATCACACTTACAAGGAGTATCAGATGACCATACCGCCACAGCGCGAGCATGCCGCTGCTATACCAAGCATTTACAAATGTTCCGTGCCTATAAAGGATATCCCCGAAGCATATTTATCCTCTAATTGCAAGACGGAGGACGGCCAGTACGCCGCGAATGTCAGCCTCCAAGAAAAACTCCAGTTTTATCACGTGCGATCGAAGGCCGGCAAAAAAGATAACCTTGAGGATGATGTGGAACCATTCCCGCCGCAATTATCCTCAGTTAGTGCCCTCCTACTGTTCGACAGCATGGATAGCCCATACGAAAAAACGTCCATGCGATCGTCGCGTCAATCAGCCGATAAGCAGCAAATTGAGGACGCCCCAGATTCGATTGTACAACCGTGGCTCTCGTCAGAAATGGACGCGTCTTCCAGCTATTTGTATACCCCAACCCTTGGAGAGGTCAGATTCTTATAATGCATTAATTTATCAACAATTTATATATTAATTGAAAACATTTGTATTTGTGTTTTTGATCTTAAACTTATTCTTATACTTAAACTTCTATTTATTCTTACAAAAGGTCTTTGCGTATTTCAGGTTCCTCAAATAAATGTGCCGCTGACGCTCCCAGATCTACCAGGCATTGTGGATGACGAGAAATTTGTGCTCGATCTCAACTCCCAAAGTCCTATCGCGCCGTCATCCGCGGTCACGACGCCCACCGTTCGTTTAGATCTACCGACGCCGATCAGTGACGAGAGAGATTCTCAGTCGAAGACTGAAGATAGTGCTCCACACTTGCCTGTTTTAACTGGAACCACATCTGCTACAACTGCATCGGCACCTGCGCCACCACCTCCACCGCCTCCTACGGTTACCGTAAACGCAGATAGTGTCGCGAGCAATGAAAAAATTAATTTTCAACAAGTTATGGCACCTCCTCCGCCACCACCACCGCCGCCACCGCCGCCGCCACCGCCACCACCAATTGCAGAACCGTCTGTGCCTGCGTCAAGTGACGAGAAGAAGGACAGGACAGCGAAACGTCCGCCTGCGACAACCGGAACGGACGATCGTTCCAATTTGATGGCGGCGATTCGAGACGCTGGCGGAATAGGCAGAGCGAAATTGAGGCCTACCGTATCGGACGAGAAGAAGGATGATCGATGGTCCTCGGCTTCGGTCGGGGGAGATCTGATGGCGGATCTGCATGCGAAACTGGCACTGAGACGTAAAGGCATCGCCGGCTCTACGGTAGGCGCGCTAGAGAGAATGTCAAGCTTGATACCGCCACCCCCGAAACCGAACGAAGCGTCCGCGTCGGACAGAAATTCCGCCACCAGCGAATACGACTCTCAACCCGATACGGACGATTGGGAAGAGTGATTGCTGCTGTTGCGATAATTGGCAGAACAGTGTGCCATCGAACAATTATATTGTAACGAACGAGGAATCGATAACAAATGGCTTAAATTAATCAGCATTCGCATGTGAAGACTCAGGGGAATTTTTTATTGGATAAATCCAATGAAGTAGAAGGATAGATAGAATCATAATACGCAGATCTAGAGTTACATTATTTTTTTATTCAACAGATCTGAAAATACTGTTTGAATTATAAATTTCACTTGCATCCTGTGGTTACTAATCATATCTTTTTTTTTCTTTAGAGAATAATTTGTACAAAAATCTATGTTGAATATATAATTTTGCTAATATTACAATAGTTTGAGCAAAATAATATTACGTGACTATATTTACAGGCGAATAAATTACAAAGTTTTCTTAGGGATGATAGAAGAATCGTTACAAAAGAATAAAAGAATAAGTAATAGAATAGAAAATTTTATTTTATCCGTCAATACATTTTTTCCAAAAAATTATTTAGTTATTTACTCACATATTTATATATATATATATATATTCGTTTTGTCCGTTATATATGTATATTGTTTACGATCTTCCTCAAAAAAGTCTTGTACATAAAGTATATTACAAAGCTAATCAATCCAATAAAAAAAGATTGTACATTTCCTAATATATAATATAGTGTACAATATACGAATGTAACTAATGTACATATACTGTTACGTTAATAAAGTTTTATATTCAAACTGTATAATACACAATATATTTAGGATATTAAAATTTGCACATGTACCACGGTTACTGAGCAGTCTTTCAATACGTATCTTAAGAATTATTAATATCACGATTCGCGATACATGATATGTTTACATTGTTTACAACATTGGACATATATATTTGAAACTCTTTACAAAACAACGAGTCCTGCGCAAGTATATATTATACCCTGGTATCATACTTTCATTCGTTTGCTTCTTATGTACATACATGACAAAATTAAGAAAAAATCTGACTTTTGAATGTAGTACTCTTTTTGTATAAAATGAATATCTCACTTCGTATTTCCGCCGTATTTTAAATAGTTCTAACATTTGGTGTATATCATCAGTTTGAAATTCATACTCGAAATAGCTGCGAGGCAAAAATAAATTTACACAAATCTATTTCTGTCACGGTAAAATTAATGGCTTTGCCATCTATCGAGTATAAATCATAGAGAGTGTAAGGCGAGCGACGGGTATCGAGAGGCAAAACATTTTCCAAAAATTCTATAATTACATCGCGCGGCTAAAGTTATAAATCTGGTGCGGCCCAGTTCAAGAATTTCATGCAAATCTCGAAGCCCATAAAACAGGCTGCATTTGCAGGGAAAGCTCGTAGCATAACGGGTACAACACCTTTGTAGAGAGCCATTGGTCCCTCGTTTTTCATTAATTTAACGAATACCTCGCGTATTCCGTTTTTGTACGTGCCTTCTGGTGCTGTACAATAATATAAGGTAATATAAATATTATATTTATATCCGTAAATGAATATAATTCTAATAGCTTAATTAAAATCTTGAAAGGAAAAAAAAAGAGAAGAGTAGAAGTATATACTTACCAGTCTGTAGGCGGCTTTTTAGGATATCAGGTGGCATTCCCACCAGCCAGTTTGCAATACCCGCAAAACCGCCAGCCGTTATGGTAGCCAGTAAACTAAGTTTCCCTCCCTCTGGAGTAAATCGTTCCTTTAGATATTCGTACGTCAGGAAGTACATTCCGCTGGCTGGAATATCTGAAAAAAAAAAGCGTATAGAGGCATAGTAAATTCGGGAATCGCTCGTGTATCCTTGCGCGAACCGAAGATGGCATATAAACATTATGTAGAATTAATAATAGCGAGTAGAGCGTGTGGGCTGGTAGATAGAAGGCATCCTGTTTGATAGGAAGCACATCAAAGCATATAGATAACAGTTAACAAAATACAGTTTCCTTCGGGCCAGTGTGCTGCTGCTGGTCCTAAGTATCGTGCTACGTTTCAAAATCGTCACATAGTGAAACAACATGACATTTGCTCTCTTGTTTTTCGTCGCCTTGTTTTTGGTATATATACAAATTTTAACACTGTCGCTTCGTTAATAAAATCTTTGCTTTCCGTGCAATTATTTTACACGGATATATAATACTAATATATGTACGTAAAATGATTGCTCTATCAAACTAGGTCGAACGCGTTACGAAATAGATAAAAAAAATCACGAAGTATTCTATATAAGTTTGAAACATATTCTGTCGCAATATAGAATCATTGATTCAAATCGTGTTATATTCAGGATCAGTATATGGGACAAATTGTCGATATCGGTGATGTGTGGGAGATCAGATGCCCGCAAGGATGTACCTGTGAGATCCAAAAGTACTCCGATCTATCCTTGCATCAATGGGCTAGCACGAACAGGGATAATAATCAGGTATGAGCAAATGAGCACGGACAATCAACGGTATTCGCTTCCGTAATTTAACGTCTTCGTCATCAATAGGACGTACCCTCCGACGATGTTGATTTCAATATGAACGACAATCCAATGGCTCATGAATTGTTGAAGATCGCAACATGCGTGATTGTCGACAACCCTGAAGAGCTTTTGGCTAAACTTCCTTCAGATATACAGGTCGTATGAAAAGCACATGTAATTTCATACATTTATATGTAACTCATATTAACTTATCCTGGCGTTTCATCAGGTTCTGACGTTACTCGAATCGGGCAGCGGGGACGTTGATATTCTTCTGCAAGCTACTACATTCCAACGATTCACCGAACTGATATCGCTAGATATTCAAGGAATAGATTACAGTGATCTGTCCACGAAAGAGACGAATAATCGTACAGATAAAGGCGGCATTATTCTCGCATCTGATGCGATGTATCCTCTGGGATCTACTTTACTGTATCTAAATCTGGAACGAGTTAAACTGTCGAACTTGAATCTGCCAAACAAGGACAAGGCGAATCTAGTGATCAAGCCGGTGAACTCGCAGGAAACGGAAACAGCCGACGAAAATCAGGTGCCTGTAAGCAATACCAGCCAGCACAAAGGTCACCGGCTTATTTTCCTAAGTCAACAGAACAAAGAAGATAAAGAGATCCTGCCGTATGATCTCTATAAGCAAGAATTGGAGGGCTATAGAGAAAACGTTGAGCTGTTTGCCGCGCTCGGTGTGCTGACGCATTTAAGGGTAAACGATTGCGCCCTGAAAGATATATCCTGGCATATGTTCGACGGCCTCAATAGCCTTCTTTATCTCTCGCTGGAAAGGAACAGTTTGAAATTCATTCCCGAATTTTGCTTTTACGGCACACCGAACTTAAGACTACTCTCGCTGGCAAGCAACGAATTATTGACGCTGAAGAGCGTAGACCTGGCAGGATTGCTCATGCTGGAACATTTGGATTTAAGACAAAATAATTTAACGTTCCTGTCGGAGTTATCGTTTCCGCCTTTTCCAGCGCTCGTGAGCGCCGATTTCACGGACAATCCTCTGGATTCTATTTTTCCAAGGTAATGAGATAATACTTATACGCGATGTGTTTCCGCGATTAAATCTGAAGACTGTCGTATATTTATTTCAGTACCTTCGAGATCATGAATACAACAATAAAGTTGTATCTCGGTGGTATGGCATCGAAACTGAAACTGCAGAAGAACTCGTTACTGGGCCTACGTCAAGCTGAGATATTACACTTGTACAATCTAGAGATACCAATATTAGAACGCTTTATCTTGCAAGGACTGCCATCGTTGACACATCTCAAGATGCGAGGAAACATCTCGAGCATCGATTTCGATGCGTTTGTCGATCTTGCTAACTTGCTGGATCTCGATCTAAGTCACTGTCATATTCAGCGAATTTCTATGGATGCCTTCTACGGTTTGGAGCAAGTTAAGAGGATTGACTTATCGAATAATGATCTTGAATTCATACCGCCTGGTTTATTCACTGCTCAACAGCAGAAGGAATTGAGAGAAATCATACTTACAAGCAACAAATTAACTTCGCTACCTTTAGAGTTTTTTAGAAATTTGAGGTTGCCAAATAAACAAACGCACGTACAAAATATAAGATTGGATGGCAATCCTTGGGATTGTACTTGCGTCATGGTCAGCTGGAATCCTAATCTGGTAACTAATATCAGTAATATTATCTTTGATCTCTGTTTAAGCTGTAATGACTTAATTACAAACAGAGACAAATACTGAATTAATATATCTGATAATATATCAACAATCCGTTAATGACTTTGTGCAACGCAGGTAAACAGAAACAAGGAAACGGCTCCACGATGTTCGACGCCAAAACGATTACAGAATTGGGGGATCTTCTATGCATTACGCAAAGGTGGCTTACAATGCAGAAGCCCGAAGAAAAGGTACCTTCGGAAGTCTCTAAAGACGAGAAGCTTCGAGGAAGACAACGATATCAGTTAGCCAATCTCCCTTCTCGAATTGTATGTATATATTGATATACACGGAGGATTATAAAAGAAATACATTAAAAATTTTTATAACCTGTCTCCTTTTCTAAAAATAATATCTGATCCTTCACTCTAGGGTAAGTATTGGTGTGCATACGTAAGCCTGTGTAAAAGTTGCTATTTCATTTCTGTTAACGAACTTCTGCTTGGCATATACAAATGTAACATTTTCAAATGTAAGTTTAAAAATAATATACACGATTTGGAAATTGTGTGTAACATTGCAAAATACGAATCTCTACCTCTTAACAACGTAGCACAGGTGCCCTTGTAAATACTTCTAATGCCGCCTTCTCGGTACAGTTGCTTCGCGCAATCCAATGGTCCGCTGTACTTTGGCTTCGCGTCCGCATGCTGTATTTGCAACAGACATTTGATACGTTCACCAGGCGCCATTATAACAGTCGTGAATATGCCGCTAAACGCGCCGGCGTAAAACAGCTGCGACGTCGAGAGTTTCTCGTTCGGAACGCTCTGCTGCAGCTTTTTCCCGACGCTGTATCCAAAGAAACTTATAGCAAATATCGGAGCAACGCCGGACAACGGTGCGCCCATGCCTGAACAAATAATAAAAACAAATTTATAAAAACAATTAATAATTTTGCCATTCAAAAACATATAACTCGTGAAAATACAAATAATCTATGAAAACATAAACTATTCTTACTTATGATCATTAAAGACCCGGTTGAGCTACTAGAATACTTATACATAATGTTATATAAAGCTTTGCAAATTCTAAAATATTAAATTGTCTGCATCACCTTGATGCAGTTGATCAAAGTGCAATTAATACGTCTATAGCAATAGTTTAAGAATATATGGGTCTATTTTCTATTGCTAAACCGGCTGCACTTCAGAGTTTATCTTTTTCTTTCCAATGTGGAGTAAAAAAGATAAACTCTAAACTAGTGCAGCCAGTTCAGTAATAGAAAACAGATCTGTATATCCTAATCTCGGCATTGAAATTTGAAAACCCTGATGCGACGATATTCGTAAGGTATTCAGCATAACATCAATACCCTTATATAAGCCACGTATTCCCTCTTTGGTAATTGTTTTCTTAGCGCAGTCCCATGTACCAGAGTATAGAGGCAATTCATTGGGTCCTGGTACTGGCATCGTCTGGAGCCGTACCTGTAGACAGAGCAACATCTCTTTTCACATAAAACCCACATGGATTCGTGCGGAAGGTTGATTGCAATATCTAGGCAGACTGTTGGTGAGAAAAGGAGAGGACAGAGAAATATGCAAACTCTACAGTCAATTGAATTTAACAAGCTGATTAATTAAGGTGTAACCTCACCTTTATGGTGTCCAGAGGGTGGCCAGCTACCACGGTGCACACCCCGCCGAATCCACCGCTTAGGAAATATTTTATGGGGCTAACGCTGTCCGACATGGTGATTATATGACTGGAGGTCTCTCAACAGGAAAATAGCGTAGAAATAACAGCTCTAAAACTCGGTGGCAAGCCAGGGGTCAAAGTACACCGGCAATTGGCCCTTGACGTATCGAGATTGTAAATCCCATTAATCGATCGTGACGTTTTTCACAGTGTTTTACGCAACCTAATGTATATTCGTATTTATATTGCAACGGCATTTTAATAACGAAAACGAATAAGAGAAAAATCGTCACAAATACGTATCATAAGCAAAATGATCGGTCTGTTCTTTCCAGCTGCTTACGTTACACCGTCTGCACTCGAAACGAGGACGAGTATATATTTTCCGAGCGTCGTGAAAAGGAAAAGGAATATATACATACACGAAAGTGTCAAACTAATTAAGACAAATCTGATTAATCAAAAAGATGCTCGAGAATGTAATTTTAATTTAACAGTCGTCAAAATTATGCATTCACGAGAAATCATTAAAGTTATTGTGTTTTAGGATCGAAAACTGTTATTATTTTTATTTTCGATCGAATATTTTATTTTCGATAATTTGAATAAAATTGTGATTTTTTAAATAATTATTTCCTGCAATTCCTGGACTTTTGAAATCTGTATATATCTTATTAGCTTGATTAAAGCGCACCAAAATAAACTATTCTTCTTTTTCAAATTGCAGAAAACAAGTTGGAATACTTATGCAAACGTGATTGTTCACACTTTTACAATATTTTTATATCGTTGCGCTTCGAAACTCATTCGAAAGAAGCGCCATAACTTTCTGCCGCGAGGATATACGCATCTAAAAGCTTTTTTTATTTTTTTTATTTGTTTGTATTTAATTATTTATTTATTTATTTATTCATTTATTTATTTATTCATTTATTTATTTAAGTCTAAAGTATGCCGGAAAAGAATTAAAGATGTGGCTTTTCAAAATCGTATTATTTTTGAAGCGCGGTTTAAATGATATCACCTGCAATGTTTAAACATGTTGTTAGTAGATCGCTCTTTGAGATCTGTAGAGACATTTCCCATCCTCGACATCAAAAATGGCGGTGAAGTGAGCAGTGAGCAGTCTAGTTAGCATATGCATGGCGACGAGCATGCGGCATTCCGTACTCTGCGAATGCAGCGTGTCTCCATTCCCATATTTTTAGTACGCGGACAGCTGGCGACACGTTGGCTGCTTTTATGCAAATGTTATTAATAGACATCACGGTTTTGATACAATGAACATGTAGGTGGGCTGCGAACGTGCGATAATTATTGACGTTCGACACGTTGACGGATGCATGCCATTGAGCCAGCTTTGGGCTATCCCGGTTCCTTCCTTCCGACGAGAGGTATCGCACATTTCATTTATTTATTTGTCGGAATCGTCGGGTGAAAATAGGACAAGTTAGTTCCGCGAGTTGGTGCGGCGGCTAAATTACCCGATTTGTAATTTACTCTCGAAGTGATATGCATCGTCGGCGAAGATTTTCGGGAGATCTCGCGCTACAGCTTCGAAAATCAATAAACACTATTAAACTCGCTTAAGTTTTCAGATAAATAATTTGAGGAAGATGAGGATTGTACAGCTTAGAAGAAATCGCCTGTCCCACATATTGATTGGCATCAGCCTGCTGCTGCTGGTTTTGTACATTCTCCTTAATTTCTCCTCGGACAACCACATGAACAATATAAAGGAATACTGGGCACAGGGTCTCGGTAAGAAACAGGTAAAGTACTGGTTTTTAATTAATACAGATTATCTTGTATATTTATGTATCACAAAATTTGTCGTTGACTTTCTGACACTTCTGTCTTTACGTTAAACATGTCTTGTTTCAATGTTGCGCAGGTACCGGTGCTTGTGGAAGGCCTGGGAAATTACGAGCCGCGAGATGTACCGGTTAGATCTGGCCCTGGAGAAGGTGGTAAACCGCATATTTTGAGAGACGATCAATTAAACGATGTCCAGCAATCGGAATCCGATTACGGTATGAATATGGTATGTTCTGATGAGATCTCATTGTCGAGAGCGATACCGGATACCAGACCCGCAGAGTGAGTCTCGTCTCGTACTACAGCTAATAATATTTAGTTTCTGATTGATCTTTTAATTTCGGCGTTTCTTTCTTTTTTTTTTTTTTCATAACATAGATGTAAGCATTGGAACTATCCAGAGGAATTACCACGTACCAGTGTCATTATAGTTTTCCACAACGAAGGTTGGTCAGTTTTACTGCGAACCATCCAAAGCGTCATAGATCGCACCCCGTCGAAGATACTTGAAGAGGTTCTTCTTGTCGATGATTTTTCCGATAAAGGTATATACCTGCGTGAAGCGTGATAATTGACAATGTCGGTAGCGCTTGATAATTAACATATGTGATAAATTAATGGAATTCTTTCCAGAGAATCTAAAAGGCGATTTAGACTCCTATGTCGAACAATCGGGAGGGAAAGTTAGATTACTTAGAAACTACGAAAGACAAGGCTTAATACGAACGCGGTCCCGAGGAGCGCGTGAAGCCAAGGGTGAAGTGATAGTATTTTTAGACGCTCATTGCGAAGTCAATGTGAATTGGCTGCCTCCGCTTTTAGCGCCAATTGCTGAAAATAGGTAAAAATCAATAAATCATTCAATTTACATTGGAAAATGGAGAAATATCGATATTATCGTGTTTTGTAACTTGAGAAAATTGAAATGTGCTATCAAATAGAAAGTACAATAATAAATCCTTAACTCTTCTATTCTACAAGTTATATAACTTTACAATTTCTTTGAATACATTTCTTTTCTTTTAGAAACGTAATGACTGTTCCTGTGATAGACGGCATTGATCATAAAACTTTTGAATATCGTCCTGTGTATCAAGAAGGACATTTGTACAGAGGAATTTTCGAGTGGGGCATGTTGTATAAAGAGAACGAATTGCCCAGGCGGGAAGCCAAGACGCGTGCACATGACAGTATGCCATACAGGTGCAGTTCCTATTTCTGCGTGGTTTTGTTATCTAGCTTATCTCATTTTTTCTGCCCAATATTATCTTATTTATATGACTTATTTATTTGACTTACAGATCACCTACGCACGCTGGTGGTTTATTCGCGATAAATCGACAATACTTTTTATCATTGGGTGGATATGACGAGGGATTACTCGTTTGGGGAGGAGAAAATTTCGAATTATCCTTTAAGATATGGCAATGCGGTGGAAGTATCTTTTGGGTACCGTGCTCACATGTCGGGCACGTTTACCGAGGATTTATGCCTTACACGTTCGGTAAACTTGCTCAAAAGAAGAAAGGACCGTTGATAACTATTGTGAGTAATCAGTCGTCTGTAAATGCACATGTATATCTATATCCTTATCGAGACATAGAAATAATCATGAAGTGAATTGTTTTTACAGAATTATAAACGAGTTATAGAAACGTGGTTTGACGAGAAACACAAGAAATTCTTTTATACCAGAGAACCTCTGGCTCAACTGCTCGATCACGGTGATATATCTGAGCAGTTGGCCTTCAAGGAACGCAAGAAATGCAAGAGCTTCCAGTGGTATATGGATAACGTGGCATATGACGTGCTAGATAAATTTCCAGAATTGCCACCGAATATTCACTGGGGAGAGGTACGTTTGATCAAAAGCGTAAAATAAATGCGTACGTTTAAGTTTTCTCAACAAATTTTATATATAATTTTTGTATTAAACAATAATTCTCCTTTTAGCTGCGAAATGTGGCAACCGGTTCATGTTTGGACACTATGGGTCATGCACCACCAAGTCTCATGGCTACTTCCCATTGCCATGGATTTGGAAACAATCAAGTAATTTGAAACCTTATTTTTTATTCTATTTTAACTCGGTTTCTTTATTCTATGCTTTATTACCTCTAATCCTGTATATTTCTAATTAGCTTATTAGGCTGAATGCGAAGGGTCAATTAGGTGTCGGTGAGAGATGCATTGAAGCAGACGGCCAAGGTGTAAAATATGCGTTTTGTCGTCTAGGAACTGCAGATGGTCCGTGGCAGTATGACGAAGTGAGTTTATTACTCTTTGATGATAAAAATTTGAAACAAAAATCTTACGCAAACGTCATCAGTATATGTTAATTTGTATTTGCAGAAAACAAAGACTCTGTTACATAGAGTACATAAGAAGTGTGTGGCACTTCATCCTCAAACTCAGCAATTATCTCTGATGCCGTGTGACATAAACAATACTTATCAACAATGGAGCTTTCACCAAGTCCATCCACGGTGGTAATATAGAAAAAAAGAGCTAAAACTTTGTTTAACAAAATTTGTAAATTATTCGAGTTTGTGCGCAAATTCTCGCAGAAAAAACGCAAAATTTATTTAGTAACATGTAATGCAGGACAGTTTAACATTTATTTGTGACCGACTCATTATACATTAGTGAGTGATATAAATAAATAATGACTACGAAGTTGATTATTGACATCGAACATATATACAAAAGCAATCTCGGATTTTATATCTGTGAAAGTTAGGAAGTAAGCATTCATTTTAGGAAGAGCAAAAGGTAAAATTTCAAATTTAAATTTACGAGCTTTTTGAAGTGTCTATATTTAGATATTAATTAAAGCGATATTTGGATATGTAATTTTTTAAAAAATTATAGAGCAAAACTATTCCGTTAATGCATATTGCTTCTTCTTTACGCAGACTGATAAACTGTAACGAAAAATTAATGTTGAATAGCATTTATTTATATATATGTGAAAGCATACGTATGTATGAGAAATATTTTGATACATGATCGTCCTGTTGCTATATATGTACATACTGCCGAGATTTTTTTCTATAATATTTCTAAGATGGATTGATTTATTAAAATTTCACTTGAAATATTCCTTTTCAGGAAAAGTTGATAATGTTACTTCTCATATATTGTTCGAGAGATTAAGGTTGATACTATGATAGAGATTTATACTCATTTCTAAATGAAGATTGTAATTTATATATACTATGGATGCTATATATACATCTGCGTGAGTCCTATGCGAGAATGTGTGAAATTTATACATAAAAGATGTGTACATTCCAGAAAGTTGAAATACTTATTACATATTCATAAGACATATTTTTATACCAGTGGGTCAAATTCTTCATCACTATTGTAAGACATTTAGGCGTTTAATAATTAGTGTATAAAACTAATAATTTTACAAACATTATGTGAAGTGAAACGATTAAGAATTAGTAATATTAAAAAATATGATTTTTTATTTTGTATAATTAACTACCTATTTATGTAAGCTTTTTGATAAAAATCGAGAGAGGTATATTCTTTGTTACTCCATAAAATTGCTGTCTTACATAGAATTTTATAGTTGTTAATGCTTGTTTCAGATTTATACTTTGCATATTTTAAAGAATTTATCTTCTTGGTTTTATTTTATACTTTTTATTTTTATTGATATATAAATAAGGAACTATTGCTGCTACAAAAAACACAACGATATTGCGTATATTTATCTGCAATATACGGAATGAGACGTTCTTTCTTCGAGTATTGAAATCTTGACGCGTAAAATTTAGAGATTTCTAATGTAGTTCGATGTGTAAAATTTTGAGATTTCTAATGCAGCTACCATATAAATGTACTTAATCGCATTTACGACTATTATTAGGATCCAATTTAGGGTTTAAAAGCAATGAATATGATTGTGCAGTTGATTTATAACGCAAAATAAAAATGCAATATATTTCAATATAGATAATATATATTTTATTATGTGCAAGATGTACTTAATGTTTAGTTATACTTGGCCAGAACTCTATTGTATGAGATTATATTTCGATTAAATTGTTAAGAGGATCATACATATGTATATATCTTTTTTAGATACAAATATTAATATTTACAAGATCCAAATTTACGACGACCTCTTCCTTTAACAAGATAAAAAAATTTGGAGTAGATCTTTCTATTAATCTTGACAGGGTCATGAGACGTTACAATTTCTTGAATTCAATATTATATTTTGCAACCGATTATATGTTAAATATATTTTTTTCCCAAAAATCAAAATTGTTATTCTCGTTGTTTAAACAAAGAATATATCATTATGAAAGTTTTCCACCTTCAAGAAAGTAGAAAAAGGAAGTGCGAGGGAGAATTGCAAGAGCCACGATTAAAATGGGCGTAAAATTTATCGTTTTATTACACGCACATTTAAAAAATTATACCTCCAGTTACCATGGGATAGACATTCGTCGAGCAGTATTCTTTTGAAGAAAAAAAGAAAAAAAAAATGAACTAAGCAAATAGTCATGAAAAGATTGTTTTACTGAGTTTTCTATTTATTTAATACACTATATACTTTGACAATATATAATTTTCTCGGTTATTTCAAGAAATTACTTTAGGCGATTGCGGGCTCATGCCGATGCTCTGCAAAGCAAAGACATTGGCATGAGTCACCCGAAATTTAAGCAACACATGCCGAACTTGGTACGCACAATCAAAAAATTTGCCTGATCTTGAAAATAGAAATATTCCGCAGAAACCTGGAAGTATACAAGTGATTGCATGTTGAAACTTAGACAAGCATCACGTACTGCTTCTTATTAATACTAAGTCAATAGATTGACAATACTCATTAGAATTATTGTTTCACAATAAAATGTTTCAAAGCTTTTTTATTGTTCAGTGTTAACGTGTTTAAAAAAATATTAAAGTATTACAATATGCAAAACTTTTGCAAAAAGCACATGATTGTAATTGTTAATGTACAGACTTTTATAACCAGTGGAACGAATGTGATGAACGTGTATATAAGTCTGTAACGAAAATCATATTATAAAGATAACAAAAAACATTAAATTACATAAGTATTATGTATTTATTAATTATACTTACTGCAAAATACGGAATTAATTTTAAATTATGTTCCATGATTTATTGAATCGCGTTAACAATATCATCGATCTTCAGTATACTGCATACAGTTTCAGAAGCAAAAGTTATCGAGCTGGTAGAAACTAGTAGTGGTTGAATTACGTTCTCTTCCAATATGTTAGTGATGGCGCCTTTCCGAACATTAATTCCCGCTGTTACCTCACCCTTCGCGTGTCGATTGCGAAGATCGGTTACAGTGGCTATCGGATTCAAACCCGCGTTTTCGGCTAACGTCGACGGAATCACCTGTAATTTGTAAATTACAAAAATCATTAAGCATCGTAATTATTCCAGGCGTTGTACGTCAATGTAATTTGATTTTTCAAGTAGAATGAATATTTTTAGAATGCTGAATAGCTTAATGACAGAATAGCTATTTGTCAAGCAAAAGATCTAGGGCCATTTTAGGCATTACCTTCATATAATATAAAAAATTTTTAGTAAAAAAATATTCCACTGATAAAAAAAAACTACATAAATAAATAATAATCTTTTTTTAAAGCGAAGAATTTGAAGTAATACAGATAATAGGATATTCTTAAAAATCTAAAAAATAAAAAAAATAAAAAACTATAGAACGCATTTAATACTAACTTCAAGCGCATTTGCAAAGGCTTTAATGCAGTATGCATCAATTCCGCCTAAGGTCACTGCGTATTCTCCCAATTTTATTGCCAGTTCAATCTCCGGTGCTCCACCACCGGCAATCAGCGCTCGTTGCTTTACTAAACATCGAATGACGCACAAGGCATCGTGCAGTGATCTCCCAGCTTCTTCTAATACTAATTTGTTACTACCACGTACGAGAACCGTGACTGTTTTCCCGTGATTTTGGATTCCGGTGATCTGTGTAAAATACATCTGTTATATAATTTATATTTCAGATATAATGTGTTGAATTACAATAGATGAAAGAAAAATAATATCGTATATTGTGATTATGTTCGCTTTTCTAAGCAAAGACACACCTTGACAAATTTCGAATTTCCAGTTTGAACTTCTTCGCAGAGCTCCGCATTGACAAGATTTTCAGGCACAAAATGATCCAGCGACGCGATTGGCCTGCAACCCAGTGTTTTACACACGAAAGGAATATCCTCGCGCTCCACATCTTTTACCACCATGACCTTAATTTTATCCAAGAAGTGTATCGCAAGATCACTGACAGCGTCGCGCAAGACCGACTTTTGCACGAGAAGCACATTACAACCCGATTTCTTGATCTGTTTTACAATATTCAGTATGTAGGCACGTTCCTCCTTTAAAACACGATCCATCGCTGCATAGTCAGATACAACAACGTTATGATCCATCTAGAAATTACAAGTTGATTATCCATCTATGCACAGACGTGAAAACAAATACATTTGTATCACATTACGTCACGATAGTTACATCAGTTTTTGGTGGTGAAATGCAAAATTGAATTAATCCAATTTTAGCTTTCTCAATACGTTTCGGGCCATTTACATTACAAGATTTCTGGGTAAATATTAATCCATCTATTAATTCAGTGTCTTCAACGGTGCCTCCCAACTTCTTGATCACTTTAATATCCTATAAAGAGAATTCACACATGAGCAAATCTATGTCATTCCATTAATTTATTAAATAATAGTACTATAAAGAATTTGTTCTCACGTTTAAGTCAACTGACACTTCCTTTCCTTCTTCTGTAACCTTTAATACTGCGTCTACGGCAAGTGGTGCAAGAAGACTGGATTGTTGATGTACAACCTAAAGTATTTATTAATATTAATACCAAGTATTGAATCGTTATACATGTAACAATTTATAATTGCATATAAAAACTGACATAGTATAATCAAGAGACACAGTAGTGTCTCGCGCCAAGTACACGCGAAGCGAGACCGCACCGTGACTTTACGCGAACACACTATTAACATTACCAAATGCATTTTTAGACGTACCTTAGAATTAAGAGATGTTGCTGCAACCTTTACAAGAGATTCTTTGTCTGAAAGGTCAACAGGTATGGACATATGTGCCAGAATCGATACTGCTTTAGATGCCGCTTTCTGAAAAGCGTCACTGATCGAAGTGGGATGAATGCCTTTCTGCAACAAACGTTCCGCTGCCTCTAACAGTGATCCAGCTATCACAACAACACTCGTGGTACCATCGCCAGCCTCTATGTCCTGAGCCTTTGACAACTCGACGAGCTAAACATAGGATATATATGCCGAATACGAAATAATATAAAATTTCATAAAACTCAAAGTGAGAAATTTATTTCTCACCATTTTTGCAGCGGGATGGATCACGTTCATCTCTTTCAGGATAGTGGCACCATCATTAGTGATAGTAACTTCTCCGTTGCTAGCTTGAATCTGTCATATTTGTATATATGCAAAATAAATTAATATTATGTATATGATAGTGTTATATATATATATATAAATTTAACTGAAAGTAATAAATATAAAATTTACCATCTTGTCCATGCCTCTAGGTCCAAGACTTGTACGTATTGCATCGCTGACAGCTACAGAAAAATAATAAATTTATATGTAATCAAATCGTAGAAAAAAAGTAATTGCTGTAATTTGTTTATCTCGCAAATAATAATAGACGAAGCTACAAAGGATTGTCATGGCTGGCTGCTTATTTTGGAAATAGCATATTTTGGGAAAGCTTGTTTTTGCCAAAGTGTGTCATCTCACACAAAAACATCTTTTATTATATATTGACGGTTGCTTCTGTCTTTATGATTAAGTTCGACTCAATTCAATGCATCAATCATACAAAGAATAATCAGCTCTCTGTGGACACTAAGCACTATTAAGCAGACAGAGCAGTTTGCTGAGCGAATGCTATGTGGCTAAAAGCAGCTTGTACATTGTTGAACACATTCTTTCAAAATAATACAGACTGTTACAACCAGTGAGTTACATACTATATTGGAATATGAACTCAGCCCAGACGGCAAGAAAAAAAAATGGGTTGATTAGAGATCACTTCTGTCTTCGTTTAGTGAATTTTGATTGATCAGTGGTTTTCTATTGTTCTCAAAAAGTACAATAGACAAGAAGGGGCTGGTTATGGTTCTCTATCTCTTTTGTTTTTTCCAGGTTTCTTCTAGAGTAGAGTTCATATTCCATAGTATACAGTCCACTGATTGCAACATAAATAAAATACTAGAAATCATCATCATTACTGAAAAATAATATATTCCCATTAACGACATATGGATTTTTAAAATATTTCAACCATATAAACTGTAAACTAAGACTAATAAAACATAAGACTATATGAACTTTTATGCAATAAGCAAAAATGTACAGCATAGATTAACCATTAATCAGTGAACGTTTGTTAAAAAAAAAAAACAAACAATTTATATAACAAACTAAATCGGCTAGAAAGCGAAGATAAAATAGGCTAAGCAGCCAGCCGTGACAAAGCAGCTAACAATTTTTATCGTTCAATGTATTTTGCTCGTCGAGCATGCCAGTCGTTTTGCCGGCTGAAACGCGCCCATTGCTATATAAGGTAATATTTTCTTCGACCTCGTGTTCTCCATAACCGCCCATCGAACTGCGAGGCACGTCCCGATCCCGAGGCGCGAAACGACCGCCGATCACAATTTTACCTTTGGCAGCATTAATATTGCTGCTGCGAATGTCCGCGGGCTTGCTCTTGTCCTTATACGCCTGGCCATGGGCCCCGCGGCTGTCGCCATTCTCCATCCCCAGCTTCCTCATCGAGAACATGTTTTTCGTCATGTTTCGTCGTCGGATTCTCGAGTAGGTTACAGAGAAGATACGCTTCTGTGCCTCTTCTGAACAGCGTAGAAGTCGGTTAACGCGACGTTTAACGCGATACGCGATTATTTCACACCTAACCCAACGGCAAAACGTCGATACTTACAAAAGCGTGATATTCGCCGAGAACGATCAAGAACGAAGAACGGAGTACGTCGCACGTCGCATCAGCGTTGATCGAGGAGCCGGGTTTCTTCGCGCGTGCGCAGGCACCTCGATCTGTTCTTCGTAGTTGCACCGTATTACACTGTACACTAATGGTCAGTCAAACGTGATTGGCTCTTACTTTTAGAACCAACTAATCAACGCAGAGTGTTGACAAGACAAACTCAACAGTCGTGCCTGCTGAACGCGCCCAATGAAACAGACAAACGATCAGACGTCGGATAGAAGAAAAGGAGAGAACGAAAACGAGAGTTTAAAATTTTCAACAAAAAGAAGTTTAGCCTCAAAGAACAAATCTCTAGGTTTGTTTTTTATTGCTGCAGTGGAATACACTAGAATCTTATACCTTCTTGCTTTCGTTACATTTCAAATATATATTTACTTTACTGCGGAAAAGTGTTCAATGATTATTCTTTAGTTCCTCGTTGGATTTAAGTATATAAAAAAATTATGTTAAAAAATCATTAAGAGCTATTAAGCTGCTTTTTCTGCAACTAATTTACATTCTAATTCAGCTATAAAAGAAATAGATCTTATGATGCAACGACTAAAAAATTGGGAGCTATTTCCTATTGGTGAAACATCGAAGTTAAACGTTTCCTGGATAGTGATTGGTCGTATACTGACTATTAGCGACGTCTCTAAAGGAAACGACGAATGAGCTATTTGTCAGGAAGTAAGGCGATTGTGGACACCGACGACAGTAAAGGCCCCCGCACAATGAAAAATATAAGGAACAAAAAACAGATATTAGCGATTAGAAATAAGAAATCAAGAATAAAGATGGTGTAGCATGAATACACGGCTTCCGATAGGTTAAAAATCTATTGCCCGTGTTATTTTCTGTTTCTTGTATTTTTTTCATCGTGCATTCAACTTTATTTATGATTTTTTAAGCCTTGTATACACGATACTAAAAATCGGTCCGAGTTTCGGTTTAAGCCAATTAACTTGCAGCTCTTACAGAAAAGCAGCAGTTTCATTGGCTTAAACGGAAATTCGGACCGATTTCTAGTATCGTGTATGTACAAGGCTTTAATCTTAATCGCTAATATCTGTTCCTTGTTTCTTATATTATTTATTGTGCGGAGGCCTTAAGTACTGGATTGAAAATGAAGAAGAAATAAAGTATTTATCGGAAGGATACTCACGCTGCGGTTTCGAATGGTTCTTACGAAACATTACAAATTACTTTTGAGAAGTAAATTCAAGCTGGAAGATTCTAAAACAATTCATTGTTATCTCCTGAATTTTAAAACATGTGGTATATTATTATGCAATGCTAGATCAAAGCTTCTCTATGAGAGATAGAAAGATAGAAAGAATTTTATTAACGTTGAATTTTGTATTTACTTTAAATTGTATATTTAATTAAAGCTATTAGTATTTCTTATTGATTAACGTAGAAAGATAAATCTTATAATTAGGTAAAGATTTCATACAAAAATCATATATATCACTTTATTATATCACTCGATTTTCATTTTATTATTAAATTAAATTAAAAAATTATATAAAACTTATTAATTACATAATAATAGTTGTAAGTTAAATATATTTATTTGCTTGGCTCTTTTTTCTTTCTGTTTTAATAAAATAATACAAAATGATCATAAAAAACTCTCATTAAAAAATCCACAAACATTCCTTTATTTTCAACTCATAAGATTTCACGAATACAAATAAAATCACGAAAACTGCTAGTAATAAATGCCGTAAGGCTACTTAAATTTCTAAATAAATACAATCACACTTCATATATTTACTCACTAATTTAAAAAAATTTTACAGCAATTTAAAAACAATAACGTGATAATTTTGCCAAGAAATGTGACTATGAAAAAGTGTATTCGAGGCAGAAGCTGGATTGCAGATTTAAGTAAGTATAGGGAAGCGTTTGTTTTGGGGCCTGCCGACAAAAGCTCCTGTTCGGACGCCCGCGTTAGGGCCGCCCCTGATGGCGAGAAGCGTCAACAATCTCCCTCCTCTCCCTAACCCCCATCGACGGAGTCAGAAGCACCTGTTGCTCGCCTACCTGTTTTACTCGCTCCGCGGCACCGCTCCCACCGCTTCGTCAGTACGTCGCGCGGCGCTACAGCGAGAGGGACGTGCGGTGAGCAGAGATTTTTTACGCGCGACGTGTGAGATTTGCGCGCCCGCGCGCGCAAATAGACGGGTTTCGTGAATTCCGCGGAGGCCCACGGGCAAAAAGATGCCTCGACGCGCCGGCGTTTCCGGGACCGACCGGGGCTGAGACCGCAGGGAAGATTCCTTTTTCGTTCGCGCGCGTCGCCGAGATCCCGAGTTCGACGATCCGCGGATTAGCGGCTCGCGAATCGGCGATCGAATTCGCGTATCGATCTTTCCCGTCGTCGCCGTGGTAACTGGTTATTAACGGCGAGAAGCCGCGATTCGCCACGCTGCAATTACCCACCGTCCGCGCCGCGACGCATTTTACGCCGCGTTCGTTTTCGCATCGAGTTGACGCGAGACTTTTCGCGGATAAGAAAGTCACGGATAATCGACGGACTGTCTATCGGTCGCTTTCCCTCCGCCCGCGAGGCGCCTTCGAATTTTCGCGTTCGACGGCCGATCGGTAGAATACGAAAAAAAAAACAAAACAAAGAAATATAAAAGTAGAGTAGTGAATCCTTCGTCGGAGCATTTCGCGTTTTGCCCGAGTGGATCGGTTCGCGCGCGCGAAACTATGCGACCAAATTGACGATACGACGAAGGAGGAAAGGCAGAAAGAAAACGAGACGGAAAGATATAGAGAGAGAGGGAAGGAGAGCGAGTCGCGGTAAGAACTCCGCGACCGGTTGAAGCCGCGCGAGAATATGCGCGAGAGACGGACCTGAGCCTCTCTGAGCGCGAGCGAGCCATGGAGGACGCAGCATCAGCAGCAGCAGCACCAGCACCGGCAACGGCAGTGCAGGATACCTGCTTCGGGGCGGGCAGCGTGGCCGGAGCCGTGATCGGGACCTTTCTGACGACGATCCTTCTGCTCGCCGTCGCCGCGCTTCTCTACAGGCAGTGGCGCCGGCATAAGAGTGAGTCTCTCTCAACTCTCAACCTCGCAACCTGTTGATCCACCGACCCAATGGAGACACTTTTCCACCTCTTTTATAGCTTTCGACGTTTACAGGGGACGAGAGTTCGAGCTTTCGTGAATTATTTTATAAACGGCAAAGTTATTTAATATATTTAAATGGAGACTTGGAGATTATAAAATAATTATATAGGTATACGCGTAACAAATAAAACAATATATAGATATAATGTTATATGGATATATACTTTTTTATTTGTTATTTGTATTATTTATATTTGTTATACATAATTATGTTATATATATATATTATAATTATTTTATAATCCTATATGGATATGTACATTGCCGCTTTTAGAATAGCTTTCGTGCATATTTATTGTTAAAAATTTATTGTCGATTTCCTTAAGAATGCGTTACTTTCCGTAAAAGTAACGCATTCCTAAATTCCCGGACTCAGCAGCGACTTGGTGAACGAATGAAATAAAGTAAAGAATGCGCATTCTTTGAATACTTACATATCCATTTAAACGCCGAGAATCCGTGAGCGTTTTCTACATTTAGGGACACGTCCGATAAAACGCATCGCTTCCCTCATTCGGAGATGACGCTCGAAAATATATTGTTCTCGAAAAAAAAAGAAAAAAAATGCAGTCTCGTTCTTCCGATTAGGAAAGATAGATTGCATCGCAATTCGCCGCGGCACAATAAGCCGACGTCATTCAGAGAAATAGAAGCGGGAGGCGGGAGGGGATGCACTTCACACTTGGATGAGTATCCCAGTTCGACCATTAATTGACGCTATTTTTAAAAGTGTCTCCATTGACTCTCGGGACTATACGTGTTCTTTTTTTTTCTTCCCCGTCCGATGAATTCTCTTATTAAACTCGCTTGCGATTTTATTCGATGTAAATCGAATCTCGTTTGAACGATTGAATAAACGTTCCGATGTAATTAGAACGTTCGATTTGCGCGTCACGTTCGATTAAACGCTTGAAGTTGCGCGACGTGAAAAATTTGGCGTTCTGGGAAAGGAATTGAAAGTGATTTTACATGTATTGACACTTTCCATATGAATTA